TGCAAAGAGCCTGATCTCCTGGCCACAGATGCTGCTGCTGGACCCGAAAGTCCATACCTGGACCTCAAGTCCTTACTCAGCACAAAGCTCCAAGTTGATATTGCCGGAGCGGGCCTGCTCGGAAAAAGCACGCAAAGCTTCAGGGTTCGCTAGGTTCACGTGGGATGGTCAGACAACGATCCCCTTGCTCAGGGGGACGATCAGACAATGATCCTTGTGTTACAACCTCCACCCTCCAGAGCCAGCAGGACGTGGAGATTAAGTTGGGGATGGCCTCACTGATACGGCAGCCTCTGGACTTGGCTGCTGCCGGCTGACCTGTGGCCACTCTCACCCACCACTGCCTCTTAGGGAAAAGGGCAAGTTTGTGGTTGAGACAGCCATGTCTCTGCTTTCAGAGGACCGATGTTTATCTGTGGGGTTACAGAGGGGGACAGAGCCCAAACAAATGGCAAACAAACGCAGGTATAAATTATAAATACAACTGGAGGAAGCACAATACAAAGGAAGTGCATATTTAGATGGGATCGGCAGGAAACGTCTCTGAGACCACCTTGTTAAACAGATACTGGAACAATGAGAAGATGCCAGGTGTGGGAAAGTGGGGCAGAGACGGCATGGTGAGGGTGTTAGGACCCTGAGGTGGGAAGGACTGTGGTATATTCATGGGACAGAAGGGAGGCAGCTGCAGCTGAAACGAAGCTGGCAAAGTATGTATGCGGGGCAGATCGGGGCGGCAGAGGAGGAAGGCCAGGCTTATAGGCCAAAGTGAGGCTTGGGGCTTACCCGAGGTGCATCAGGAACACTGCGGAGGCTTTTAGGCAGAGCAAGCAATATCCAGAAGTCAGTCTTCCATAGCGTACCCCTGGGTCCATGCTCCTCTGGGGATCTTCTCTTTTGTCAACAACTCCGCCCAAATCTCCCAGCCAGAACGGCTGAGGAGCCCAAAGTCTTGGTTTGTGGCTTAGCCCTGCGTCTTACTAAGGCGGACCTGGAAGCTCATAGTTTGCTCTTTGTTCACAGGGATTGTGCAACCCCTGTCGCAAGGTGTGCACACCCACACACTGCACACCCACACGCCCCCCTGAAGGCCTGGCCCAGGCAGACAGAGCCTCAGATTGTCATTTTCAACTATTTCTGTGATTCTCTGTTCTTCCATTTCACTAGGGGCCATGAAGGTGAGCAGTGGAGAAAGGGTGCAGTCCACCAGGGCACTAGCTTCTGTCTCTGAGTTTTACAGTATGTGAGTAAATCGAAAGATAGCATATGTCCTGGCTGAGAAAACAAAATGCTACAGAATAGTTGATCTGTTTCAACTATTTTCTGTATTAATACAAGTCTATGCAAAAATCTCAACATTTGGAATGAAAAATTTTATTAACAATAGCCAATACTTACTAGGCACTTACTATGTGCCAGACATTGAGCTTGTGAGCCAGGCGTCAGCCCTGTCCCCATCTTGCAGACCAAGATTGTAAGGCCTAGAGAGGTAAGTAACTTGTCAATGTCACAGGGCTACTAAGTGCTAAAAAGAGCTTGAAGCCCTGCCCCAGATGCTGCCAGTCCCCAGGGTCCATACCTGGCCTGTACTATCCATCCTCAAAGCTAATGGTCTTAGCTGTTTTAGGACTATCTTACACAGTGTATGGACACATAAACCAGTGTAGATATCAAGTGATATTTTGAAAAAAGAAGACTGCATGAGTGAGAATCAAGTCTTGTTAGATTTGAGAAACCTATTCAAAGAACTAATTTATATAGGTATGGTATTTGCTCAGACTAAGAGTCTATGTAAGGAAATGGAGAATGCAGAAATATACCAACCAGAAGGGTAGCATAAAGGGCTGGGGATATAGCTCAGTGGTGCAGTACCTACCTGGCAAGTGCGAGGTCTTGGGTTTGATTCCTGGTACCCACTAAAACAAAACAAAACAAAACAAAACAAAACAAAAAACCCAAAAACCAAAAACCAAAGGTAGCATAAGAGGTTTACCAAGCATATGATAAGGGAAGGACTGTTTAAATGGTGACTGCATAAGCAATAATAATTTGTGGTAAAGCAGGTGAGTTAAATATACATTTTACTTCAAAATAAATAAAATTAGAGCAGTCATCGAAGAATTGAACATAAAATGAAAATGTACAAAAGTAATCAGATGGGTGGAAAATAGTTCACTTTTTAGCACTGAAACAATGAAAAAAACCACAAAGGACTAGAAAGACAGATTGAACATTAGAATAAAACAAAATGGAACAACATGCTGGAAAATATTTGCATCAATGATAGTAAAGGAATAATATCTATAAAAAATGCTTGTTCAAAGTCTGAAGAGGTTTGAGTCCCCAGCAGATGAGTGGATATGAATAGATCATTCACAGAAGGGACAACACAGATAGTAAATGCATGGAAAAATACTCATTTTTGAAAGGTCACCTAAGACATGTGAAGGAAGGTAACCTGCAACTACTCAGTGCTTAGAAATGTGCATCCAGCTCTTTACACTTGTTCTTTGGAGGTGACAGTAAGTGGGGCAGCTCTTTGAGAATAACAGACAGCACTATAGGGCAAAACGACTTGGTCATTCATAGCTTCCATCTAGAGGATTTTCCACTCCCAGGTATTTGTCATAAGCGCAGAACTCAAGGATATATTAGCAAGCCACTTCAAAGAAACAAAATGTACCAGATCAGAGAACTAAGTGAACGGATAAGGATAGCTGACACTTTAAAAATGAATGTTAACAAAAATGTTGATGAAAATAGAAATAAAAGAAAATGTGTGGCAGCAACCATGCAAAGATATGCGTCTACTGAGAAGGTCTTATCTTTGAAAACTCAGATTCTGTAGTAATAGGTGGATACTTCGTTATTTTTAATTTTCTCTCTCTGGCTGTCGTATTGTCTTTTAAAGTGGTGCGTAAGTAAAAAATGTGGATTCCAATCCAGCTTGCACTGAAACTTTGAGCAAGTGGTAAAATGGGAGCTATTTCCTGGGGCAGCGGAAATCAGCGGAAAATGGCCTGAGCTGCGTCTGACACAGTAGGTACCCCAGACCAGCGGGCGGGGCACGTCCTCCCGGCAAATCTGCAGCCATCGGCGCCCCGACCAAGACTTCCCTCCAGGGCCCTGGGGTCTAGCTGGGCACTCCCGGGTCTCTCCCTCGCACGCGCTGGACTCTCTTCTAGGGGAACTTTCCCGAGCAGGTGGAGGTGTGTGTGTGTCCCACGGACATGTGCCCTTGGGGGAAGGACAACATCGAAGACTCTACAGGCTGTGGGTAGCTCCGGGCGCGAGGCTGACTTGCAGTCCCCTTGAGCTTCCGCTCCAACCCGGGCTCGGAGATCTTCCGCCCGAATTCGGCGGCTGCCCTGTGTCCCTTCGCTGCATGCATTAAAACTCAGATGTGCAGGCACCTTCCGAGGAAGCCTGGAGACATCAGGCGCGCCCCGGCCCGAGTCGTACTTCACAGACAGTGGGTACTTGGGTGCCCTTCTAGGTCTTGAACGACGCGCCCGATCCCTTTCGTGGGTCAGGCAGGGGGGCGCGATCCCCTCGGACGGCGACGCGCGCCCACCTGGGACCGGGCCGCGCTCGCTGCTTTTCTCCGCTAATGCCATCTTGCCCGAGGCAGTCACGCGCGGACACGGCGCAGCGCTTCGGCACGGCCAAGACTCTAGCACCGGCCCGGGAACTCCACCGGCTTCCCCGCCGCTCCGTCCAGAAGCGGAGGTGAGGCCCTCCCTCGGAGTCAGAGCAGGGCCAGGACGGCGCCGGCTCTCGAGGGCGCGCCTCCGGTTTGGGGCCGGTCCGCTCCCGGCCAGAGCGGCGTCGGGCA